TGGTGCTCAACTGGTCCTGGTTGGTCAACGAAGACTCAAAGTCTTGGTGGGACTCAACTGGTCCTGGTTGGTCAATGAAGACTCAAAGTCTTGGTGGGGTCAGTTGGTCTTCATTGGTCGATGAAGACTCAAGGTCCTGGTGCTCAACTGGTCTTGGTCAACGAAGACTCAAAGTTTTGGTGGGCTTAGTTTGTTTTCATTGGTCAATGAAGTCCTGGTGTTCAACTGGTCCTGGTTGGTCAATGAGGACTCAAAGTCTTGGTGGGGCTCAACTGGTCTTCGTTGGTCAACGAAGACTCAAGTCCTGGCGCTCAACTGGTCCTGGTTGGTCAAAGACTTGGTGGGGCTCACTTGGTCTTCGTTGGTCAACGAAGACTCAAGTCCTGGCGCTCAACTGGTCCTGGTTGGTCAGTGAAGACTCAAGGTCCTGGTGGTGCTCAACTGGTCCTGGTTGGTCAATGAAGACTCAAGGTCCTGGTGGTGCTCAACTGGTCCTGGTTGGTCAACAAAGAATCAGTCTTGGTGGGGTCAGTTGGTCAATGAAGTCCTGGTGTTCAACTGGTCCTGGTTGGTCAATGAAGACTCAAGGTCCTGGTGGTGCTCAACTGGTCTTGGTTGGTCAACCAAAACTCAGAGTCTTGGTGGTGCTCAGCTGGTCACCTCAAGTGACCTTTGGTTGTCCCAAAACTGGCCCAGGTGATGTTGGGGTGGCACCTCCTCCCCCAAGCTGTCCCAAAATTGGGCCGGGTGGTTTGGGGTGCCCCAGGAGATTTGGGTTCCCAAGTTCATTTGGGGTCCCCTGGGTGATTTGGGGTTCCCTGGCTGGTTTGGGTTCCCCAGCTGGTTTGGGGTTCCCTGGCTGGTTTGGGGTCCCCCAGGAGGTTTGGGGTTCCCTGGGTGATTTGGGGTTCCCTGGCTGGTTTGGGGTGCCCCAGTTCATTTGGGTCCCCTGGGTGATTTTGGGGTCCCCCGAGTGATTTTGGGGTCCCCGGCTGTCCCCGACCCCGCTGCCGTTCCCCCAGGGCTGATCAAGGTGCTGCTCTACATGGCCTTCATGACCATCATGATCAAGGTGCACACCTTCCCGCTCTTCGCCATCCGCCCCATGTACCTGGCCATGAGGTGAGCTCCTGATCCCGATCCTGATCCCAATCCTGAT